AGAGACAGAAAATACGCCGAGATGGCGAGAGGAAGACAGTCACACAGTCCTACACAGAGAGAAACAGAAACAAAGGCAAAGACACACACACACACACACACACACACACGCACGCACACACGCACACGGGTGCACACGGGCGCAGGCTCAGAGGAGTCTGTAGAATGCTGGGAAGCAGGAAAAAATGGAATATAGTGTCCTGCCTCAGGCCAAAACCACTGTGGACTAATCCATTTCCCTTCTCTACAAATAGGGAGACTGAGGCCCAGGGAGGGGAGGGACTTGCCCCAGGTTATACTGTGTATGGACATTTAGGATTGTTCTTGGCCACCCAGGATTTGAACCTGTTTCCCATATGGGCTTTGGGGAAACCTGGTAGGAGGCAGAGCCCACCTTTGTCCACAGAGTTGAAATGCCAGAGCCTTACCTCCCAGGCTCCCTTGCAGCCAGCACTTGAGCATGTGACCTAGATCCCCAGCCCTCCCCACCCCACCAGAAGCACCTGCTCCAAGGGAATTAGTGAGCTGGGATCCATGAGATGGGGACAGGAGAAGGACTCTCCAGGGGCAACTGCAGGAAACCCAGCGCAGTAGTGGCAGCATGGCTGTGGCCCATCTGGTGGCATGGGCAGGGCCAGCTCAGGGACAGTGGTAGTTTCTGCACCTGGCCAGCTCTGCCCTGAGTTCTTGGCTGGGAGACCCAAGTCTGATTTTCCAGCCCACCCAAAAATTTTATTAAAAAAACAAAACCAAACCCATTGCTGTCAAGTCGATTCCGACTCATAGCAACCCTATAAGACAGAGTGGAACTGCCCCATATGGTTTCCAAGGGGCGGCTGGTGGATTCAAACTGCCAAGCTTTTGGTTAGCATCCTAGCTCTTAGCACTGTACCACCAGGGCTCCGCAATAATTCTACAAGCTCCCCAATATCCTTTTAACAAATCCCTTTTCTGCTTAACCCAGTGAGAGTTGCTTACTAAGAGTGCCTGGGTTTGAATCTTTGTTCTGTTGCTTATGAGTTGCGTAACTTTGGGAAAGTCACTTCACTTCCTTGTGCCTTGGTTTCCCCATGTGTAATATGAGGATAATACTGTCTCCCTCACTGGGCAGCTGTAAGGATTAAGTGAGCTAACAAATGTGAAACGACAGTCCAGATTTGATGGAACCTCGGCCACTGCAGTGGCAGCACGGTGGGTGGAGAGGAGTGTAGGGAACTCGGACACACGGGCGTTCAACCTGGCTCTGCCATGGACTAGCATGTGTGACTGTGGGCAAGCCTCTTCCCTTCTCTTGGCTGTTGCTGCATCTGGAAACAGTCTCTGGGTGAGACTAACCGGAGCCCGGGCCAACCTCTCACACTTGTCCCCATAGCTGTTACCTAACCATGCCTCATCTCCAGCCCATGGCGCTCTCCTGGGTTTTCCCTCCCCTGCCCCCAAAGCCAACTGCTTCCTGGACACCTCCACTCAGATGTCCTTCCAGCACCTCGAACCCGACACACCTCAACTGTGCTTAGTATTTCCCCACACACACCTGGTACCATCCCTGATCCTTCATCTTCCCCTCCCCCACCTGCATCTTGTCTACAAATGCCCACACTCTCTTATATCTATCCCCTCCCCTCTGGCCCCCCAGCCTCCGGCTCCTCGACTGTCAAGCTCCCCAGGCTTGCTCCTGCCCCCCACCGAAGCTATCTGCAATCCCCTGTGCCATCTGATCTCCACCTGTCTGGTCTCATCTGATTTTTCCTCCTACACCTGTGCTCCAAACAACTACTCACCAGTTCCGAAGCCCAAAGCATGGTCCCATCTCCACGCCTTTGTTCACCCTTTCCCCTCAGCCTGGAATGCCTCCCAGGTATAGGCCTATTCACCTGTGAAAATCCAGTCTGTCCCCCAAAGTCCAGCTCAGAGCACTAAGTCCTCTCTGACCCTTCAAGGTGGAGGCATGAGTCTTTTTTCTGTCCCTCTAAGCTCTCCTCACATACTGGATGTTTCTCTCATGGAGGCAGTACCACCCAATGGCTAAGAGTGAGGACTGTGGACTGCCTGCCCTGGCCTCTACCAGTTGCCATTGAGTTGACTCTGACTCCTAGTGACCTCACGTGTGTCAGAGTAGAAATGTGCTCCATAGGGTTTTCGATGGCTGATTTTTCAAGAAGTAGATCACCAGGCCTTTCTTATGAGGTGCTTCTGGGTGGACTCAAACCTCCAACCCTTCGGTTAGCAGCCGTGAGGGTTAACCATTTGCACCACCCAGGGACTCCTGCGCTGGCCCCTAGAAGCTGATTATATCCAGGAACAAGTTACTTCGTGTCTCTGAGTCTCAGTTTTCTCATCTGCAATATGGGAATAAAAGCAGTACATATCTCAGGGGGCTGCAGGACAGTGGAGATGGGAGGGATAATGTATGTAAAACGGTCTGTGGTATCTGGCACCTGGAAAAAGATCAACATTTGGTTGCTTTGTGGCATATTCTCTGCCATCTCTGAGCTGATGAAAGATTACAAGCACTAAAGCCTAAGCTGCTATCCTTACCTGAGCTGTCCCCAACCTCAAAGGAAGGAGGCTCCAGTGGAGTTTTAGCAGTAGCTTAACAAAATTTGGGCAGCCCCAACTGTTCTTCCTTCTTCCCCAGCTTTTCATGGGAGCTACTTTCCTCCCTGTGTCTGTCTTTCTAAAAGAAAAGATTCCACTGAAAAGGCAAACAGAGAAAGAGGAAGCAGCCGTAGGAGACAGGGGAGGAGGGAAATCAATCACTTTATTTCCATTGCCATTAGCTGCCTTTACTCTTCCCGCCTGGCCTGATGTCCTCCCCCGCCCTCCCTTGAAGCCCCGGGTACTGGTTAATGGCAGTACTTCCCCCCCGCCCCCGGTCCCCTCCCCCGACTGCTCCTCCTGCTCCCCGGCAGTTAGTGCAGGCAGCACTTTGGTCCAAATGAAGAAAATGGCTCATTAGATAAAACCCAAAACAACCAAACCTGTTGCCATCGAGTTGATTCCGACTCGTAGCAATGAGTTCATTAGATACCAGGGGCTAACTGGCACTACATTTGCCAACCTCAGTGGAGCCCTGACTTTTTTCCAGCTTCTTGTTTGATGTGAGTGGTCTGAGATGAGCTCCAGCACCTCCTTCGGGAAGCCTTCCTGGTGTTCTCCACCCCCCTCCCCATTTCCACAGTCCCCTCCTCTCCCCATCAGGACACTGATCATGATTTTTTGGGTCTGTTGTGCTGTGAGTGAGAGGCTCGATACCAGTGCAGTGGCTGGCACACAGTAGGTGCTCAACAAATTGAATAAATGTTGTGCTTAGCTCTGCCATAAAGAAGAGGAGCCCCAGGCCCTGGCCTTGAGGGGCTCCAGGCTGGTTGGGAAGAACAGGGGACAGCCCAGGCTGGGGTAAAAGCCAGGGCTGGGGAGCTGAGTCCCTCAGGTTTGCAGGCTGTAGGGGCAAGATGTACCCCCACTTCTCCCTGGATGACCGTCTTCACCCCACTGCTCCCTGCATGACCCTCAGGCTCTGGCTCCATCTGAATCAGGGACCCTGATCCCTGCTGCCACAGACTGCTCACAGAGTCCTGGAAATACAATTTTGTAATCTCAGCCTGGGAAGGGGCATGAAGTCAGCCCCTCTTCTTACAGACCTCCTGGGTCTGAAAGCTCACCTCCTTCCAGCGGGGTCTGTTTTAATCATGGATGGGAAGCATATCCTTGGATTTTACAGAATTCTTCCTCGATGGCCCCATCTTCTATTAGGACCCCTTCTGTTAGAAGCACCTATGCCCTTAGATTCCTTGGAGCACACCTGCTCCCTAGACCACCAGAGCCTTCTGCTGGCGCAGCCAGGGAATGCCACTTGGCATGGCATGCAAGTGGTGCTGTTGCCCTCTAACCAGTTTGGAAAGGGGAGTGTGTGTGTGTGTGTGTGTGTGTGTGTGTCTGTGTGTGTGTGTGTGAAAGCCGGTGGTATTGAGGAGGAGCTGAGCAACTGTTCAGACACACTCAGAGGGGTTGCTAGACTGTTTCCAGGATGAGCGGCTTCAGACAAGCAGGCACTCCTACGAGGTCTGGGGAGTCACTGCTGGTGCATTGGGCTGAAGATGTGAGGGGCATTCCAGGTGGGCCCACAGCCTCACACAGACACTGATAGTACAAAGACACTCCCACCTGGCTCTAAAGGCCTTCCACAGGGCACGGATACTCTAGACCCAGAGCTGGTATGATCAACCCCATTTGGATGCTGTGTAGCCTTCCCAAGAGAGAGGAAGCCAGTCTCTGATTTGGAGGAAGGAGGGCACAGGCTGTTCTCCCTGGGAGGTGGGGGGTGGTCCGGATTCAGACACCACGCACTACTTGGGGTTCAAGGAGTAATGCCGCCCACAGGCCCCTGACTCACAGCCCAGCCGGCCAGTTCTGGGACATCACATCCGGTTAGGGAAGGGGTGGCACCTCATGCCCTGTGGCGTTGCAGCCTCTATGCCCTGCACACACCCCCGCCCCCAACGAATGCACTAACCCCATCCCTCTCGCCTCTAGCTCTTCTCCTCTCCTGTAGTAGTCTGATAACCACTCTCACTTTGGGGGTTGGGGAGGCAGCGTGTATACCCGCCCCTGGTCGGAGGCATGGTGGAAACGAAGAGGTGACCCCCGCAATGGTGGAACTTCAGGCACTCCGACTATACAATGTGGGAGAGAGGTTTGCCGTCAGAGAGGAGGGAGTATTTCCTTCTCCCCTTTCTCGGCTCTCACCGCACGGCTCTCACCGCACGGGAACCCGGAAGAACAAACCACTGCCTTACTGAGGTCTGAAGCTACTGTGAGGATGGGGGAGAGGACGCGACCCCAACATTATAAAGTGTTCTTAACGCCAGCGATGTGACAGGGCACCAGGGCCTTCAGCAGGTCTCCGACGCTGGGTTCGGAACCCTCCCCACTCCCTAAACCGCTTGGGCGGCCAGCGCGGAGCCCACAGAGGTGGGCCGGGGGCGGGGGGGCACTCACGGGTCGTGTTGTACTTGACGCCGTTGAAGTACTCCGGACACGGCCTCTCCACCAGAGCTCCGGCCGCGCTCCGGGGCCAGCACGTCCCAATCTGATCCAAGGTCGTGTTGCAGTAGGAGTAGGGACCTGGCGACAGGAAAGAGCGGAGCGGAACTCAGAAGGGTCGCACCGGGCACTGGGTACCGCGGGAAGCAGGGGGCCGGGCTATGGGAGCGCGCGTTCCTGTGCGCACCGAGCGCGCCAGGGACGGAGCCCGCGCCGCCCGGACCCGCCAGCCTTCCGCCTACCCTCAGGGTCCAGGGGCAGAGTCCAGCCGTCCAAGAGCAGCTCTTCGGCCAGCGCTAGGCTGCAGTTCGCTTCCAGCAGGCTCTGAAGCAGTGCCGCTTCCATCGAGCCCCAGAGCCGTGCGCGGAGAGGGCGTGTGAGTGCGCGCCTCGCGAGGCTGCCACGGAATGGGTGCGAGAGTAAGCCGCGGGGAGAGCGCGGGGCCCTGGCCCCTGCCTGCCCAGCCCGGACCTGCCGGGCAGCCTCCGGACGCCGCGCCGGCTCTCCCGGAGCTGTCAAGTCGGGACCTTCCCCTAGAGCCGCTGCGGGGCGCGCGGAGCTGCAGTTCCACCCGCTCCGCCGCGGCCAATGACGGCGTCAGTGGGCGGGGCCGGACGGCTTCTCTGGCCGGGCGCAGCCTCCTGCCCCCAGTACGCGGGCTCTGCCCGGCGTCGGTCTTTTCCAGCCCTGGCTCTCTTTTACCCGCGAGGACCGGAGGAGAGCGGTAGGGATGGAGAGCTGGGCCTGGGGTGGCCGAATGCCCCGTTGGAGGATCGCAGGCCCCGGGGCTGCAGGGGACAGCAAAGCGCGCCTACCCCCGCCAGAGGAACTCATGGAGTTGCCCTAACCGAGAGACAGCTGCCCGCGCTAGACTCCAACCAGAGGTGGGCGGCTGTACACCTGATTTCTCCTCCCGGAGTGAGGACAATGGAGAGAGCGGTGGACAGAGAGTCCACGTGCAGATCTGCGCTCTGGAAAAGCGCCTCTGGCCTGTGGGAAGGAAACGGACTGGAGGGACCTGGAGGAAAGCAGGGAAGCCACCTGATGAGACAATGAGATAAAGTGGCCTGAATGGGGCAGACCCTGCCCAGGCGGTGGGAGCTGGGATGGAGAGAAGCGCATGTTTGGTGAGAGATTTCAGGAGGTAGAACCAGGCGTAGTGAGGAGAGATTGGAGTGAGGAATGAGCCGGTGGCTTTGAGCAGGGACCAGGAGGCAAAGATAACACCAGGTGTCTGCTTGGGTGAATGGAGATGGGGAAATCTAAGAGAGAAACTGGTTGAAGTTATCCAGCAGACTTCCAACATCCAAATCTTACTGCCCTGTGCACCAGAGTAAAGTGAAAAGTGAGAACATATGAATCTTCCTCTTTGCATGGGTGGGCCCACCAGAAGCTGGTTCCCATGTCAGCCGGGGACAATCAGACCACAGCAGTTGCAGAGGAGCTAAAAATCTTGGTATAGAATTTGCCCAGCCTCCCCTCAGGACTGCCTGCTTGGTTAATTCCTTCCAGATGCACCCTCAAAGTGCCCTGGCTGGGTCTGCTGCTCTGGCTTCTGAGTGAGTGGACTCCGGCTCGGGAAACCCGGCCCAGGGTGTGGCATGCTGGGTTTTGGGATGGCCTCTATCTCTGCTCTACCCGCCATGTTACCCCAGGAAGGACTCTTGCCTGCTCTGGGGCTGTTTCCCATCAGTGAAATGGCCTCGGAGGCCCCTTCTGACTATGAGTCTCTGGTTCTGAAATGCAAAAGGTTGGGGAAGGTGTGTGTGTGTGTGTGTGTGTGTGTGTGCGCGCGCGTATACAAATGTTGTATATATTTCTATCATTTGAGAGCAGGGAGAGCTGGGACCCAGTCCTAGCTGGACTGGATGTCCCGTGGGGAGCTAGTCCTGTCCCCTCTGCCAGCCTCCATTGGGAACCAAAGCTGCCAGGGAAGGCTGTCTGTACCTGGGACCACCCTGAACCAGCGCCATGCCCTGGGCAGGGAGAGAGGAAGAGGCCAGCTGGGCTGCCTTTGTGTGCACCAATCTCATCAGCTGCCATATTAATGCTGCTGTCACTGCCCAGGCAGAGAGAGAGAGAGAGGAGACCAGGGCTGAGCACTGGAATCTCTGCAGCGCCTGCTGACTAGCAGGTACAAGGTGCAGACCAGGCAGCCAGGTTTGTCTTCTGCCTCCTGAATGGACAGTTAGAGCCCTTGATTCTGCTCTGGGCAGCTGCAGAGGCAAAGGTCCCTTGGTCTCTCACCAGTGCCAGAAGCGGGGATGATAGATTGAATCCCAACCCCAGCCCCAGACCTGAGTCCTACCCCCCAGGGTCCCACACAGGCCAGAGTGTGACTGGCTGGGTCAGCCCCTGTGTTCCCTGGGAAATAGTCTCCTTTATGCACAAAGGAGGGCCTCTCAAACAGCGGATCACAGCACAGGGTGAAAGGGCAAAGCCAAGCCAAGCTGAAGTTACTAATGTGCTTTTCACCAGCGTCACTGCCCAGAGGAAGCAGCTCTCTCAAGAGGTGGTGAGCTCCCAACGACCGGGAGCCAAGGACTTCTCATCTCACATGCACATTTCTGCAGAATGGAAGGGTTGGCTCGGATGACCTGGGTTGCTCCTAACTAGGAGAGCACATGTCATAAAGGTCCCTCTAGGAAGTGAGCATTGCAGTGGCAAAACCCACAGCTCTTTTGCAACTGGAATGGACAGACCCACAGACCCCAAGTTCCTCTGGTTTCCAGGATGCAGGGCCATTTCTTCATGGCTGTTATTCATTATAGGCACGATTGTCTGTCATTCTAGATGGGACATGGGAGAAACTGAAAAAAGGTAGCAGCTTTGGAACAAATTGATTTTACAGTTCACTTTAGCGTTTGCAAATAGGTAAATGAGGAAGAAACGGGAAAGAGCCAAAACTTTCTTCAATTTGATTAAAGCCAGCTAGGCCAGGCACTGGGGGAGAAGTATTTGTGATTGTTTGTGTACCCCAGGCTGGTAAGGACAGGGACAGGTTGACAAATAAGTGCAGGGAAGTGTGATAGGTGCTGCGGAAGACATCTGCGTGGAGTAGTGTTGGGTGAGCAGGTACTTCCGGGGCCCTGCATCTCTCCCCTTGGCCCACCTCTGGTCTTAACTGCGCTGGCAGTAGACAGTTCCAGGCAAGCTCAGATACACCCCCACTCATGCTCCCCCCCGTGCATAGCCTCCTCCATGGCATGGAATAGGCATACACAGCCCAACAGAAACACGGTGTTACACCGTCACACGTCACACGTCTTCACAAGATCACACATTCTCCCTCCCCTCTCTTTCCCATCCTCCCTCCTCCAGTATCAGCTGTAAAACAGGATTTAAGGGGACAGAGTCTGTCTTTGTGCCTCTGAGGGGCTGTCCTGGGTCAGAGGGAGTGTGCAGAGGTAGGAGAAAGCCATGGGGCTTATGGGAGTTATGATGGGGCTGCTGAGGGCATGGAGCCTCGGGAAGGGCCCGAAGGTGCCCACTCTCATCCTGTGGTACTGGGAACAGTGCCCCCAGGCCAAACACTGCCCTTGCTCTAGCTGGTGTCTTCATGCCAAACGACAGGACCCAGCTGTGGAACCAGGAAGGGCCCTCAGCGATCATCCCATCTCACATTCTCATTTTACACATGTGCAAATGGATGCCCAGAGAAGGAAAAGGAATGTTCTCCACCCCATGCCTTCAAGGCCATCATCATCTCTGCAGCAGCCCCTGACTGGGTCCCCTGTCTCCTCCGTTATGGCAGATGAAGTGATTTTTCTAAAGCACAATTATGGTCATGTCACTTCTCACAAGAGTGGCTTCCCATGGCCTCAGAATAGCGTCCAACTCTATGGCATTGCAAAGAGTTCTTTATGATCGTCTAGCCCCAGTCCTCTCCCTCCTGCTCAACTTTAGATGCCCTTCTGAACTACTTGTCATTCCCTGCAGCCATTCGATACCTATGCTCCCTCACACGTGCTGTTCCCTCTGCCAGGAATGACTTTATGGCTCTGTACTCCATTGGCCCAGCTGACGCCTACTCATCCTTCAGAAATTCAGCTCTGCCGTCACCTCCTCTGACCTCTCGGTGTTGGGTGATCCTTCTCAGTGCCCCCGTCTGTCAGGAGCTGCTCTATATCACAAAGAGATTGCTGGTTTTTTGCCTGTCTCATCTTCCAGCAGAGTCCCTGGGTGGCACAAATGGTTAAGTGCTCGGCTGCTAAACAAAAAGTTGCAGTTGAAATCCACCCAGAGGTGGCTCGGAAGAAAGGCCTGGTGATGTACTTCCAAAAAATCAGCCCTTGAAACTCCTATGCTAACTAAAAGGTTGGTGGTTTGAACCCACCTAGCGGCTCCATGGGAGAAAGACCTGGTGATCTGCTTCTGTAAAGATAACACCCAAGAAAACATATTGGGCACTTCTACTCTGTCACATGGAGTCGCTATGAGTTGGAATCGACTCAGTGGCACCTAACAACAACAACGACGACGTGAAACACAGTTCTCTCACACATGTGGGGTCACCATGAATCAGAATCCACTCCATGAAAGCAACTGGTTTGGGCTTTTGTTTTTCCCTTCTAACATCCTGTGACTTCCTGAGGGCAGGGCTGGTCCTGTTCACTAACCAGTCCCCAGCCCCCAGCTGGATGCTCCATCCTGAGCTCAGTGTCACTACTGAAAGCCCGGGTCTCTGTCTCTGTCCCCTGGGCCAAAGCCGTCTTCCCATTTGACCAGCCCTGATGGTGTGTGTGTGTGTGTTGGACTGGAGAGTTACTTCAAGGGATCCTTGAATCCATTCATACCCATATATTGTCTATAAAAAACCAAAATCAAACTCGTTGCCATCGAGTTGATTCCGACTCATAGCAACCCTTTAGGACAGAGTAGAACTGCCCTATAGAGTTTCCAAGGAGCGCCTGGTGGATTCGAACTGCTGACCTTTTGGCTAGCAGCCATAGCTCTTAGCCACTATGTCACCGGGGTTTCCATATTCTCTATAGACTGAATAAACAACATGCCTCACAATATATGTCCCATTATTTTTCAAAACATATGTAGATGCTGTTGTGAAGACGAAACTAGAAATACCCCCCTTGCAGCCTGCCCGAAGTCATAGTAGGCGCTTGAGATTGCGTGTTTTTCCTTTATTTGGATCTCAGGGGCATAAAATTGGATGGATCCTAATCGTTGATTCATGACGCCTTGCCATCATCAGTCCATGCGTGGCCTGCCTTTATTTTATTTTAGACTTTTGTGGACATTTACACTTAACAGTAAATATAATGAGCACCCTTGAGCCAACCACCCATCCCAAAACTAGATCATTTCCAATCACTGACATATTTATCTAT